ACAATAGCATAAGACTTAGATTCATTTTTAGGCAACCAAACACAACAAGTGAAGATACCAACTTGTTGGTGGCTCCAATGAGCTGATTGTATTTCCTCTTGGTACGTGAGAGCGTAATTCTCAGCAAAATCTATTTGTACAGTTGCACAAGTCTCTGAACAATTTTCATCTTTTAGATCTTCCTTACACTTTTCAAAATAATTCTCTTGTAGTTTTTTTTTTTTTACGTGACAATGAACTTTAAAGTGGGTGATCTTTTTTTCTATATCTTTTATTGCTTCAGACATTTTACCTGTGATAACAGTTTTAAGCTGAACTCCACCTTTATCTTCAGTCCACTGTTTCCAAGTTATCTCTAAATCCAAATCCAATCCTACTGTAAGATCTGTAACCTTGCGTGTAGAACATGTTGGGCATTTTTCAGATGCACAATTATCATTAGTTATATGACAACACAGATAATCCAAAAGCTCCTTGTGGTTATTTGGAAATACCTCATGACGTCGAGATATGCCTTCAAGCAAGGGTAAAGCAGGACGCTCATACAAGCTACCTTATCTGAAACTTAAAGAGTTTAACGGGGAACTAAGTGAGTAGCTCCCATTTTGGTATCAATTTAAGAAGATCGACGAAGGCCAGAATGTAGACCCAGCAGATAAGATCCAGTATCTTATAATGGCAACTGTGGTTGGATCGCCTGCCCGTGACTTGGTTGAAAGCTACCCTGCAACGCCTGAAATGTACAAAGAAGTTGTTGAAGCTCTAAAGAGTCGATTTGGAAGAGACGATCTCTTGAAAGAGTATTACATGAGGCAAATGTTGGCTCTAACGATACAGAACGTCACAGGCACAGGTAAAGAAAAACCAACTTTGTCGGTTCTTTATGACAAGATCCAGTCACACTTAAGGAATCTTAATGCACTGGGAGTGACAGAGTATTGTGCCTCACTGCAAATACAGATGGTAACATCAAGTCTGCCCGAAGAAATCCTCAAACTTTGGCAGCGAACAACGAACCATAACTATAACAATCATGAAAGTTCATCCAAAGAAGTTTTGGAGAATCTGTTGACGTTCCTTAAAAACGAGGTAGAGGGAGAACAAAAAGTAGGCCTATCTATGGCATTGGAAGGGTTTGGAATTGCAAGTACCAAACACAATGTAAGACACCCCTCAAGTTCCTCTCAAGTTTCGTCTTCTATTAAAACAAATAAAGGTTTTGAGAAGCAAAACAATCGGAATCCTTTTGAGAAACAGCCTTCGGCGGCGGCACTTGTCTCGACTACGGAAGGTACTTATTCATTGACTTGTGTGTTTTGTGATAAAAACCACAGATCTCAAGATTGCGTGAAAGCTTTGGATATGACTCTTCTTGAGCGAAAAGATATTTTAAAGAAGAAAAGATCTTGTTTCAAGTGTTTAAAAGGTCGACACATGAGTAATTCCTGTAAAGCTATGGTAAAATGTTCAGCTTGTTTAAGAAAACACTATCCGATTATGTGTCAAGATCTACAAAAGAAAACTACCGTTTCCTTAAATAAAGCTGAAAGATCTGATGAACAGAAACCTAGGCCTATTTCTGAGGATAGTACAAGTCAGGCATTAGTGTCAAGTACTAGTAAATCAACAGTGGTTTACCTAAGCACACTTCTTGTGAAAATCGTCATGGGAACCCAAGAACACACAGTTCGTGCGTTGATTGACTCTGGAAGCCAAAAAGTTTTATTTTGAAATCTTGTGCGACTGATTTAAAACTGAAGAGAATTGGTAAAACTGTGACGAGTCAAGAGTTGTTTGGGGGACAGAAAACGAATTTAAGGTCTCATGGAGTTTATTCTGTAAAACTTCAATCCACAACTGATGGTTTTAATGAAGAGTTCAAAGTTTTGGACACGCCTCGTATCTGCGGATTCATACCTAAAGTGTCGGACGTCAGAATATATGAAAATCTCAAAGCAAAAGGCGTGATTTTGTCGGACTTTTGTGAATCCTCAGAAAAAGTAAGTGATATACAGTTGCTTCTTGGAGCTGACAGTTGGCCTAAATTGATTACATCGGAGTATGTAAAAATAGGTAATGATTTGGCTGCTGTGAAAACTAAACTAGAATGGACACTAGTTGGTGAATCTGAATCAGACAGTGAAACTAGAATGACTTCTTCGATGTTATTGACTCTTACAAATCAAGTTAATCCATCTCACTTTTGGGACCTTGAACTTTTATTAATTAAGGACCCTGGTACGAAAAAACTTCAGAGTGAAAAAGATAGTCAAGTAGCTGAGTTTTTTGAAAATACTGTTCAACAAGAAGATTCTGGGAGATATGTTGTCAAACTTCCTTGGAGTGAAGGACAGCCTGTACTAGAGGACAATAAATACGTCGTAGAAAAGAGACTTTGTTCTACTACCAAAAAACTGAAACTTATTGGTAAGAACGATGATTATGATTCTGTGTTTGATTCCTGGCTTAATCTTGAAATAATCGAGAAAGTTCCCGAACATGAGTTATGTAATATTAATGTACACTACCTTCCCCATAGAGCTGTTTTTAAGGAAAGTAGTACAACTAAGGTACGCCCAGTGTTTAATGCATCCACTGTCGACACTAATGGTCATAGTTTGAACAATTCCATGGAAAAGGGTCCTAACGTAATTGAGCTAATACCACTTGTTCTAACTAAATTCAGACAAAATGCTATTGGTGTCATATCGGATATTGAAAAGGCATTTCTTCAGAATTTAGTATGCCCTGATGACAAGAGACCGGTTACGGTACGATTTTTATGGTGGGAAAATGGAAAGATTGTTGCATTTCGCCACAGTAGAGTTGTTTTTGGTGTTACGTCAAGCCATTTTTGGCTTGGTGCAGTCTTATCTCACCACATTCAAAAAGCTCCTGAGCATTTAAAGGAGACAGGTGACAAACTGGCTCAGTCCTATGTGGACAATTGTGTCACTTCAGTAAATAGTGAAAATGAACTAGACAAATATTTGTTAGAAAGTAAAGAAATTTTAAGTACAGCATGCTTCAATTTATGTGGCTGGATATCCAATTTGAGAAATCCAGATGATGAAGAGAATGTTCTTGGTCTCAAGTGGAATTGTGGATTAGACACGTTAGGTTGTAATCTAAAACTGTTAGAAGGAGAACCTGTTGAATTTTTCACGTTGGACTCCACTTTCCACGGTACAGCGGATTTACGACCCCATTGGATTCACGATGGCAGTACTGTAAGCATCACAATGAAGATACCGTTGCAAAGGTCCAGGGATAAAAGTAAAGAATGGGATGACCCTCTCCCGTTGGATTTAGTAAAAACCTTATTCAATGATTTAGATTGGATACAAATTGAAGACGAATGCAGTTTTCAACGAATAAAGTGGAAATTTAACCCCACTGCACCATGGTGGGGAGGATATTGGGGTGGTTAATAGGCCTACGTGTGTTAAAAGACCTTCTTAAGAAAACTTTAGGACAAACATCACTGTGTTACGAAGAACTGATGACGTTAGTATGTGAGTGTGACTGTCTTATGAACAGCCGTCCCTTGACTTATGACAGTGATAACAAGAATGAACTTACGAATGGTTTTATACAAATTGTTGAACTGTTCAAGTATTTGACATTTTCTGATTTTCGGAATTAAGTGTTTGTAAATTGCCGTCACTTCTCAATTTACAAAGGTGGGGAGTGTGTTAAGAATACAATTTATAAGACTTTGGTTACTGTACTGTGTGGAACTAAACATAACTTATGATCATATGTTTGATTTATTTATTCTGATTTGTAAACAGAGTAGGTAGTAGATTTGTGATGAATTTTTAAGAATATAAAGCTTCTTTTAGAAAGTGGATAAAGCCGGGTTTACACTATGTAGCAAAAACTGCTATATAACTTTTGCTATATAACATTATTATATAACTTTTGCTATATAACTTTTGCTATATAACATTGCTATATAACTTTTACTATACAAAAAGTTACAGACAATTTTGTGATTCCGGTGCCCGTGCTATAGGCCTATGTTATATGTAGCTCAACCTCATTTACATTCTGTATCGAAAATGTAGAGCCGAAGAGACATTGTTCGAGGCAGATCACGGTGATCGGAAGTCAGAAGCGGAAGCGATCCATAATTAAAACGCGAAATAAGGCGGTGGTAGATTCAAAAACGTTTTACGTATGACCACAACGCCGGTTGTCCACGGAACAGTTCAATTAAAGTTTATAATAGCATCCGGATCCCACGCACTGTAGCACAGTCCTTTCATTGTAAACAAAGATCCCCGAGCAAAAACGTCCGTACACAGGAGGCTACAACTGTGAACTTTTGTGAACTGTTGACACTAAATGCTACATATAGCCAAGGCCACACTAAAAGCCTTGATATAGCAGATGCTAGACGCAAAATATTTGTATAACATTCCTACATATAGTAATGTTAGATATAGCACGCATTTCTTTTGATCTTTACCGACTCCCGATGGATAGCACAATTTTTGCTATATATAGCAGAATCTGCTACATATAGCAGTGTTATATAGCACTTTTGAAATGTGACTTTTTCTACTTCTAGCAAATGTTATATAACATTGCTAGATGTTACACAAATCTGCTATATAGCAGGTTTTGCTACATAGTGTAAACCCGGCTTAAAACCGGTTTTTTATTTAGCTAATACTTGTTAGAACCTAAAATCAGGGAATATTTTTTTTATATTTTTTAAGGATTATTCCCCCAAGTTGTAAAAATGTTTATAGGCCTATAGCTTAAAGGCCTATATATGAATTTGAACGGGTGGTGTTTTTGGCCTCTGGGGACCTCAAAACAAAAAAGTAAATCGGTCCCGGGTCCAGGTCTTACCATGAGACCTACGGTAATAGGTAGCTAATTCCCTAGCCTATATAGGAGATCCGCCAAAACTAAGGATTTCATCCCAAAGAGTAGGCCTAATAGTGTTCGATTAAAAAAAAAAAACTGGTACGATTTATCAAACTAACCTAAACTATGGAGGGCAACTCTTGAGTCCAGTAGCATTGATAAAACATAATCACTAGTAGCTAGCTATGTGTACTTTGTTTTGTTACTAAGCAACTTTCTCGTCTTGTCCTTCCTTGTCCCCTACTTACTTGCACTTGTCATCTACTTCTTCTACATCTACTCACTCACTCACTGATCTAACCTCTACTAAACGGTACGACTGTACGAGACCCGAGACCTTGCCGTCAGACCGTCACCTCCGTTTGTCTAGAAACGGGACGCACGATTTTTATTTCAGCTGCAGTTTTTTAATACGGACAATACGAGAGTTTAAAAATTAGAAATTAAAAAAAATTATTGTAGACCTAAAACTAAACAAATATATAGTTAATTTTTTAATTAAACTGTCATAACCTGACCTAACTAACCAAACTTGCTGATAATGACAAAATTGAATGAAGGTTTACTAATAGAAAAAATAATTCTGTTCATAAAATAAAACTATAAATGCCTCAAATTAAATTTTATATTTTTTAATTATAAAATTAAACTGTGATAACCTAACCAAACTAACCAAACTTGCTGATAATGAAAAAATTGAATGAAGGTTTACTAATCGAAAAAAGTTCTGTTCATAAATTAAAACTATAAATAGCTCAAATTCAATTTTATAAGGTTTTAATTATAAAATTAAACTGTTATAACCTAACAAAACTAACCAAACTTGCTGATAATGCAAAAATCTTAGACAAAAAGTTTGTGCTCCCGATGGGTTTCGATCGAACCTGGTACCATAAGTTTCGTACTTTCGTAGCCCGGCACGCTATCCAATAGACCACTGAGGCCGATGGTTTCATTTCGTTTCATTGCGCTAATGGTGTTCCCTCAGCCAATAGAATGCTCTCATTTTGTTCTTGTAAAAATAACTGCAGCTGAAATGAAAATTGTGCAAACGGCACAGCGTGTAGCGAGCGAAGGTTTAACTCCAATAATGACTAGACTTTAGGACTAGACTAGGACTGGAGGTAGTGGACGGAGGACGGCAGGCTCGGGCACGGGCGCTGACGGAATGGGCACACGGGAGGGACTAAGGCTAAAGGTGTAGCGACGTCATTTTTATTTTATTTTATTTTATTTTATTTCAACGGACATTCCATTTTGTTTGATGTGGTACTAAAGATACATTGTACAGTTCAAGATGACTAATATTAAATAACAAATGTGAACTTTTGACACTTAGACATAGGTAACAAAACAAATAACAATAATAGTAATTAACAATAATGTAGTAATTAACAACAATAATGTAGTAATTAACAACAATAAATTATAGCAAAAACATAACAAAGACGATCGTATTACATAATAACCATAAATAACAAGGAAAACAGGCATGTTTGAGAGAATAAATAGCTTAAATAAGTATAACAGATTATGACTAGAGCAATTAATTATGAACAACTTTGTTTAATATTTACAAGGAACATGCAGTTTAATGAATGTGATTTTGAAAAGAAACAAGGAAAAAAAACAAGTGTAAACAATGATTATTACCAACAAGGATATTGAAGATACAAAAAAAAATAAATAAATAAGCTAAACACTCACGCACTATCTGCCTGTTCAGGCGTGTGGCCCTTTAAAGGCGCCACCTAACACAAGCACACCATTCACCCACAAATTCCGAATGCGATCCTTTAAAGGCATCGCCAAGCACAACCGCACAAACTCACTTTACCAACACGTATCATCTGGGCTGTCGTTATTGGATGAGGCGTCGCTTTACCGCTCTTCTAAAACTGGCCAGGTTGCTGTTGAAGAAGTCAACACTGGAGGAGACGGTGTTGCCGTGGCGCTGTATCCTGGGCAAGGTACTGTTCTTCTCGTAATTGGTGGACTGGTGGGCTCTACCAAAGAGTTCAGTTGACCTTGTGCCACTAGGAACGCGAAAATGGATTCCCTCCAGTATCTCAGGACAGTCTATTATTCCGTTGACAAGTTTAAAGAGAAAGATGATATCCTGGAGTTTCCTTCGGGTTTCCAGTGTATCCAACTTCAGCAGACAAGATACCTCATCCATTGGTACAGATCTGTAAGTGAACCCAAGTCTCAAGCCGACCAGGCGTAATAGTCTGTTCTGTACTGACTGCAATGTGGACACTGCCGTTACCTGGTGTGGGGACCATACAATAGATGCATATTCAAGTATGGGTCGCACATAAGCACAGTAAAGCAGCTTTAGCGTGGATGGGTTTGTACCCAGACAGCACGTGAGCTTGGACTAAACTTGGTTTTTACATATTTCAGAATTGGTATGACAAACTTGGAGTTTGGAACCCACTACAAATTTAAAACAGCTTTCGTTAAGTGAACTTGTGTGAATGAGCCAAAACTAAACTTGTTTTATTTACATATATAACCTGGTTGGCCAAGTCTACAATTTAAACACCTAACCAGACCCACGACAAGCTTGTTCATGTGAGTCTAAAGTGAGCAGTGCCATATGACAAAAGAATTTTCCCTCCACCCCTACCCACCACACGCTTCTAAAACCTGTTTCTTTGTGCTGAACCACCATTTTTGTTGGATTTAGACTTCCTCACTCTCAGTTGTCAGTTCTCACTTATCTTGTTTTGGTGTTGTGAGTTGCTCGTTTCGTCACTAGTTGTGAGTTTTGTTTGTGGTTTTGATACCAAGATGAAGCAAAGAAGAATTAAGGGATTCCTAGCTGTAAAGGTAAGATTTACACTCCATTGATAAAAAATATACTTGTGTTGGTTAGTCTACGATGATATAAGTAAGCTAAGTTAAGCAAACAATTAATTTAATTGCATCAAGAACCCCAGAATTTTGTTTATAGCCTACCTAAACCTTTAGCACTTTAACCTTTGTCATACTCAGCGCTTCACTGAATCGACAACGTCTTAACGTCTACTGCTGAACTCTACAGAACAGTGCCAAAATTTTTGTTTAACCTTAACCATTATAGTCAATGCCTTAACCTACAGATAAAAACAAGCCAAACCATTATTTTATGTTGTTTGTATTCAGTAGCCTTGTTGATAAGTGTAATTTCCTTTATCACATGCTGTAATCATTATAAAAGTAAAACAGTAAGAAATAAAAGTTTGATAACAATTTTAAAAACAAGAGTAAGTTAACACCCTGTGTTTGCAACACCAACAAAAATGCCAAATAATCAAATAATTCTAATAACAAATAAAAATTATGAAAAATTATTTAAATAATAAATTTTAATAAACCAAATAGTTCGTCTAATGCAATTGTATTTTTTTATAGATCTTCTGAAGCAGGCGGTGGAGTTGATGGATTCAGAAAAGAAGTTGAAGGTGAAGTGGAAGATAGTGGGCATTGTATTTATTATATTAATAAATTGTCTTGAAATGTGAATGTCTTGTTTTCTAAACCTAACAGATCATATATAACCAATATTTTTTTCCAAGATCACTTAAGACTCATAAAATAGGCTTCATTTATTGATCATAAATGTTTCTTGGTAAAAAATAATTATATATTTATGTTTAAGAAAAAATGTGGGCTAGCAAATGAATGGTGTGAAACAGCTTATATGTTAAATAGGTATAAATTATATTACTATTACTATAGCCTATTATAAAATTTTCATTATTATCTCTGATCATGACAGTAAGTCATAAAACTTCGTACCAAGTCTGAGTGAGTCTATATGTGTGAGCTTGTTTGCCCAAGTCTAAAATGTGCTAAAACCAATTCCAATATGAGTCTAGGCCAAGTCCAATATGAGCCTACTAAAATTGGGCTTGGGTCTCCAAGTCCATAATGAGCCTCTTTAATTTATCAGTGTGAGCTTGTTTGCCCAAGTCTAAAATGTGCTAAAAACAATTCCAATATGAGTCTAAGCCAAGTCCAATATGAGCCTACTAAAATTGGGCTTGGGTCCCCAAGTCCCGAACAAGTCCATAATGAGCCTGCTTAATCTACCAGACCTATTTTGTATCCATCATTCCAAGCTTAGAGTAGGTTTGTGACCATGAGTTCACTGTAGGTTTGGGGTTGGGACTTGGGTTGGACTTGGGGAGCCAAACCCATAACAAGTTGAACAACTGCCAACTTCGGTCTCTAAAACAAGTCAAAACCAAGCCTACAGACTTTGGTGCCTGAGTCTAAACCAGGCTTGGGAACTTGGGCCAATGGACTTGGAACAAGTTCCCAGCAAGCCCATTGTGCTGTTGGGGTAAGGTAGTGTGAGGATCTATATATTAGACCTAAGTTCCTGCTTGCTCTGGATGAGATGTTATTGATGTGGTTGGTAAAACTTAAAGAAGAGTGCATCAAAATTCCAAGGTCCTTGGCTTCATCCTTTCTCTGAAGACTACAACCACTGAGAGTGTAACTTGTGTTATGTCTAGAACGTGTTCTATGGAAGGACATGTAAAAACATTTTTCTTTGTTAAGCACCATGCAATTCTTGTTACACCACACTTCAACGGCATCTAGAGCGTCCTGAAGGGAGCTCTCATCGGCTTTGTTCCCAATCTTTGTAAATATTTTCATATCATCAGCAAATAATAGCTGGTTGACTCCTAGGCCCCTGACGATGTCATTAATGAAGGCAATAAAAAGTATTGGACCCAAGTCATATCTCTAGTGGCTAATGTCTTCTCTAGAGGCAAAACGATTACCGTAACGAAACAATGTGATTTCAGCGGCGTTCGTGGCATTGTTGGTAGCGTTTCGGGTTAGTATTCAGGAGGTCCCGGGTTCAAATCCCGCTGGCGGCACTAACTTTTTGTCAAAACATTTTTCATATCAGCAAGTTTGGTTGGTTAGGTTAGGTTATGACTGTTTAGTTTTATAATAATAAATTTTAAAATTAATTTTATAATTAATAAAAAATTATAAGTAATCATTAATTAGAATTTTATCTTGTATAGTTTTTATATTATCAGCAAGTCTGGTTGGCTAGGTTATGTTATGACAGTTTAATTTTAAAGATTAAAAATTTATTTTATAATTTTAAAACACTATTTTATAATTAAAAAGTTAATTTTATAACTAAAAAAAAAAATTAATTTAAATTTTTTCAACTTAGCAGTTCTAGCGGCGAACGCTGACACTACAAGATATGTTAGCCTTAGTCCCTCCCGTGTGCCCCAGCGGGGCACTGACAGCTGACGACAGCAGTGACAGCTGACAGTAAAACAAAACAATTTTCGTAATATAAAGGTTATGCCTTAGCTTGTTAGTTGTTTCGTTAGTGTTGGTGGTTGGTCTTGTCGTACTTCCTTCCATAGAACATACATTTTCTTACATTTATAATCGTAATAGTTTGTGTATAATATTGATTATTATACGAACTTACCGTACTTAACTGGTCATGTTTGCTATTCTACAGAGAAATTCTTTCACATGGTCATCATTAAAAACTATTGCAGATAATCTTAAAACAATTTCTGGAAATAGTAAGATCAAACCAATTTTGTTGTGTCCCAGCAACACTATAAAGACAAGTAAGTTTACATTAGTTGTTTTAATTCAAATCTTAGCCCATAGACCCTACTTTGTTGTAGGCTTGTCAGCTATTGAAAAACAGGTAGCCTAGGCCTAAGTTTACTTGCCAACATGGACTCTCCGTTTTAAGACTGGATACACTCTTAAGTGGGAATGTTAAAGCAAAAAAGTTGTGGCCTAAGTTAGTTTAGGGCAGCTGCTCTTTACTTTACGTCCTACACTCATTTGAATGAAAATATCGATCGATATATCGATAATTCGATAAGTTACCTATATTGTTTGGTTAGTTAAGTAAGGTTAACCTACCTTATTACCTTATTACCTTCTTCTTCACCAAGACCAGCAATGCCGGATAGGTTGTGTCAATTGAATTAATAAAAATAAAATAAAATACCGGTACTGACTGATACGCTTGTATCTTACTATTTACATATCGTCGGTCAATAGACATAGGGGCGTAACTTGAAAATCTGCGATTTTGAGATAAGACTACCACCGCACTAATTTGTATGCGCTCTATTCAATAGACCGACTGGCGCAACTGTATCTCAAGCCGTTCAAAAGTTAGATGAGCATCGTAACTGACATTTTCCTACATTCCAAGAGACATACAGACGGAACTGCACTTACGACCGTATGTCTCTTAACTTTAAATGTATTTAGCTACTAGGTGCAGAGTCATAAAGGCGTATCAACTTTTAATAATAATGTATTAAGCTTACTAGCTGTTGTACCCGTGCTTTGCAACGGGAAGAGGTAACAAAATAGAAACATTTTAATCTTTACACCTGTTGCATATAATAGTTATGCATATCCGCTAACGCTTTTAGAAACAAAATTCAACTTTTATGGCCTTAATAGAAACGTTTAAGTTGACTTTTAAATCTGGTAAGTAGTGGATACCACCATTTTGGTTTTGATTAAATTTAAATCTTGTGTAGGCATATGAGTAAAAATGACCAAATCTTTGAATAAAACTTTCACATACGATTTACCTTCATATCTCAAAATTACATATATTTTTATTTATAATTGACATTTTAAATTTCAATGTTGAAGTTGCATAAATACTAATTATTAAATTTAAATGGACATTTTTTTAAAAATTTCACTTTCCTTCATATTAAATCACAAATCCTTCCATCTTTAGTTCTTCTTTCTTCACTGACAATAAATCATTATTAGCAAAACTAACTCAGCTGTTATAAACTTTAGAAATATTGTTGTGCCTTATCAATACAGTCTTTTGAAATATTAAAGAAACTATAGGATATAGCCCTATCAATACTATAAAAAATTAAACACATAATTTAGCATTAAAGACAGCAGACAAAACTAATATGATTATCAAAGCGTTGATGACTAAAAAATATAATAGTAAATACAGTAGGCCTATATGTTTCATTGCATATCTGATTCTAATCTACAAAAATATCAACAAACAACTTAATATAAAAACCAGTTCTTTTAATCAGTTCCATCCATTGCCTTTAAATTTTCACACTTAACATTAAGTAAACATAGTTACAGATATTGCATTGATTTTAGAAACAAAAGAACATTGTGTATACTACTGCTAGTTTTATGATATTTTCCTTGGTTTAATTTAATCAGTGGTGTGGCAAAACACAATAATAAATTTATTAAATAAAGTAAATGTGAACTGAAAGCTATGTTAAGATAAAATAAGAGTATTTTCTATTACCATTTGATAATTAAATATAGTTACACAATTACAACAGATTTTAAAACAAAAAATCAATGACGTGGGCTACAATTTAGTTATTGATGATATTCTTTAGTTTAATTTAAGCATATGTTTAGCAAAACATAATAACTAAATTTACCTAAATATACATATAAAAAACAATGTGATGTGCAAGTTATGTTCAGTTAATCTAACACATGTTAGGCAGCTCGAATTTATTTAAAGTAGCCTCCAAATTCATACAAAATATCTATACATTGTAATTTTCAAACTGTTTCTATGAAAGCATATCAATAGCATTATTTTCATAACTTAAGACGCTTTAAAAATCCAAAGCAGAGCAATAACGGTTATAGAATCTTTTTTTATAATCATTGACAGTTTTAGAATAAATAATACATGATAAAACGTTACCGTAGATTAAAATAAACCTATCTCATAGTTATAGAAAATATTATATTTTACTGTCTGAAATTGTGAAATATGCAATTTAGCAGTTCTTCTTGTTTACATTGAAATTTCAAAGCCAATGCAAACAAACATTATTAGAGTTCTAATCGCAGCGATGGAAACCAACCAATATTTACTTTTAAAATCCTCACCTCAGAACTTTTAAAGGCAAAGGGGCAAAGCCTACAAGTATCGAAATGTGAATAGTCCTATAATGGTCCTTGATAATAGCTATATTTTTGTAAAATTTAAGCCCAGTTGGTTCAGTAGTTTTTGCACCTATTAGTAACACACATACAGACAGACTCCATTAGATTTTTATATATTAGTATAGATTAATTAAGATTGTTCACTGTGTACAAGTGTCTTTCTTATTCATTAAATTTTAACCAATTTAGTGCATAATATGTAATAACAACGTTAATTTTACAAATAAATGAAGACAGTTTATAGCTTTAAAATTATTGAGTGTAACTAGTTATTTGAATTTTCTTTTAGAGACATACAGGCGTATCTACTTTGACTTGATGTAATTAGGAAATTAATAATGAAAACAACATATTAACTAGTGTGTAAACTGATGCCCATACCCTTTGGTATCATCTGTGAAAATTTCATTGTCCTAGGTGGCTTATATCTATAATTACAACGCCAAAAGTAAGCACATGTTCTGAAACCACCTAAAAAACTGTTCTCCTGAAAAGTTGCCATTTTGCAGTTACGCCCTTATGTCTATTGACCGACGATATATGTACAACGAAACTTATGGCGGTGGATGTAGCCTCAATTTAGTTTCGGTTTAGTTTTTAAAAAACTCATCCAGGCTAAGTTTATAGAGTGGCCTTTCCACTAGCCATGCCTTCAACACTTTGTCAAACTTCCTTGTTTCAAGGTTCTTGATTACTTGGGGCAAATTGTTGTAAATCTTGAGCGCTATGGTCGGGAAAGCATTTTTAGTTTTAGAGAGCCTGCAAAAGGGAAGGTCTATTTCCTGATTATGTCTTGTTCTGTAGGTATGGACTGTATTTCTGGTCGGAAAATTTTGAATGTTGTTTTTTACATATGATGCACATAGGAGAACAAAGTAGCTGTAAACTGTTAAAATTTTGGTTTCTATAAAAAGAGGCTTGCAGTGGTCCAATCGTTTTCTAAACGTTATTATCCTATTAACCTTATCTAACTAATCAAATGATGTATCGAATTGAACAATCAGATACCGTAATCGATATTTTAATTCAAATGAGTGTAGGACGTAAAGTAAAGTGCAGCCTTTAGGACATTGTTAGTAAGGGTTTGGGTGAATTTCAAATTGAGAAAGAAAATGAAAACAGAAAAATTAAAAAATATATTAAGTTATTTTGTTAAAATGCATAAGGTAACTTACTTATTGAATTGGTGTGAACCTGGCAATAACTCAGCAATAAGTAGTGTGTGCGGTAATCATTGCGATGAGGGTGACCAAGATTACTATAATAAGTTTGTAGTGAGCTGTCACATCTATCAGCTGACAGATGTTTTAAATAGTTTTATTGAATTTTGGTTGCTAAGAAGAGAAAAATAAACAAAGAGACATTCTTCTAGGCTTTTCTAACAAAAGTGGTTCATTTTTATTTTCTCTAGACAATTAAGTTAATTGTTACGGTAATTAATTTTAAAAGTAGGATTGCATAAAAGTTACCTATGATAAATTAAACGATAATATTTAGTGGAAACCTCTAGACTTTCATTTAAAGTATTTCAATTAGGGAAATGAGGTTCTTTTCACTAAAATTTTTTGGAAGAGCAAAACCAAGATATCAGAAAACAGCTTAATGATGTCATTGGAGTTGACTCTGAATATTCAAGACAATATCATGATTCAGAAGAAGACTTTTTGGTTAATCCAATGAATCAGAAAACTCAAGAAAGAAACAATTCAGTAAATCCAAGACCGTCTGACAAAACAACTTCAATGCAATCTCCACAATTAAAATTTTCCCCATTTTTGGCGTGAGAAACCAGCACGTTGGTTCATACAGATTGAGGCAATTTTCTCTCTATGGCACATTTTTTATGAGAGCCTTCGTTTCACACACGTGAGATGACTGCTTCCGAAATAGAGGGTTTACTCTCAAACCCAAATCTGGAAAACCCTTACACGAGCCTGAAAGAAGAACTGATAAGAAGATTATCAGTCTCAGAACATATTCTCGTTATTGTTATTGATGTTTATTATTCACAATTTTTCTTGTTATTGTTATTGATGTTAATTATTTACACTGTTTCTTGTTATTGTTATTGATGCTTATTATTCACAATTTTTCTTGTTATTGTTATTGATGTTAATTATTTACACTGTTTCTTGTTATTGTTACTTTTTTCACTGTTGTAACTGTTGCAATTCACTCAAACTGTCCACCACCACCACCACCAATCTTCTTACTCATTTATTGATGTTTTCTATTGTGTTATCTTGTTGTATGTAAATCTTGTCCAATGTATTATTTTGTAAAATGGCGATTGCCGTCGGAATGAATAAATGAAATGAAATGAAATGAAACATACCGGTAAGAGGATTAAGCAGTTACTCGTAGAAGAAGAACTCGGGACAGAAACACCATCCCACTTTCTCAGAAGATTGAAATCGTTAGCTGGCAGCAGCGTTCAAGATGACTTGCTGAGGATCATCTGGATGCAGCGACTTCCTACCCATATTCAAGGCATCATGCAAACCCAGTTAGGCGCTGGGGTCAGTACCGAATCATTGGCCGTTACAGCAGACAAGATTCAGGAGGTTCAACCTTTGAGTTCACCTGCAATAAGCTGTGATGCTATTTTGTCAAACCGAGGTAAGCCAACGAT